GAATCAATTATTTTTGCTGAATGATTGTAGAGGTGTAGCTCTGGTGTTGAGGGTGAAGGCCCTACTATACCTTTATAATCCCCCCTTTTTTGCTACTACAACCCACTACGGTCCATCTAGCTACCGAAACTGCGCAATCATAGTTCTGAATAGAGCCTCGGGCTTGGGTGATTTTGTTTTGGTCCCCCTATGCTAGTAGTAGTAGTAGTAGTAGTAGTAGTAGTAGTAGTAGTAGTAGTAGTAGTAGTAGTAGTGAAAGACATATTTTTGACAGTTTTGGACATTTCGCGCTGAATGGCCAACAACGCCCACAACAATGACACATGGCACGTTTACGACACTCTTGCCTTGGCTTGTGATGCGTTACCTCGTAAAGAGCTCTTTTTTCCTGCTCCTCCTGCTGCCTTGTTGTAATCTTCCATTTTGAACTCGACCACATGTATGCTTCGTCTTTCTTCTTGTACTCCCATCTGATTGTCAGAAGAGCATCGGAATCCTTGAATCTCTACGCTAGATACTACTAAAGTACTACTTGATGCTTCTTCATTCTCGAACTAGGTTTTTTTGTGCAGTACCTCCCTCGCGCGAAAACTCAATGGACACTGCAGGGAGATGCTATAGTGAGGAATGCTACAAATATGTCCTGCAGACTCTTTGCAATAACTGCGAGTGCATATAGAGCAACAACATACGCTGCTCGTCAAGACTGAAATGTCAGACCTGCTGCAGGCCTTGGTGAGGAAGACCTTTCTTCATACCGGCAAATGTCTAAATTAGAGCATGAATAAGATTTCTATTCTATGAGTCGATGGCTTTCATTGTGATTTCTCTTTTGTCTTATCCTGTTCATGTTCGTTTCGAAATGATCTAACACACTAGTATATGGAGGCAGTGTGCTGACCAAAGTACTGATTCACAAAAACCCTCAAACTCTGATGCAATACCAGCGCACAACCTAGACAATATCATAGAAGCTTCTGCGAAGTGTAGTAGATTTCATGTTAGAAATATATTCCAGTGTACTGCAGAACCGTGACTACGGACGCGTTTCACTTGCAACCAGGATTAAGGATTCCACCACCTCACTTCGATATAGTGGGTTCTGTGAAGGCTACTGCTCGCTTGCACGAATGGATACATGCGTGATTTCTAGCTTCGTTTTTGAGGACATCCAAATCAACTCGACAGCACGCATCACCAAGTGCTTGGAACGTCCTAGTCACGAAGACTTATTGGTAGATATGCAAATGAGGTACCTGCTCTTTCCATGGCTCCGTTTCAACATTCAAATAAGCATTTATCAATCTCTAGAGGCCAGAAAGCGTCGGCTGCTAGGTCAAACGTAGGCACCGGCTACGATTGCAGCCGGTGGAAGAGTATGCAGTCTCCAATCCATATCAAGCGCTGGCAGACGTCTGCTAGTGTCTTGTGCTATTCGGGCCTTCTTTTTGACGTCGAGTCTTTGGAATCATATGCGCTAGACTTGATCGTTACCGATATTTGGAATGCAAGGGATTCGAGGGGGAAATGGGAAAAAAGGTTGGGCGGAATTGTGCATGAGTGGAGAGCTGAAGACCTTCACAGCCTTTCTCTTATGTTGTGATGACGCTGTATTATGCAGAAGAGAAGATCTTCGCATACGACTTTCCACATCCACAGCACTCACTGATATCAAGATGGTAATCATTCTTGGAACGATTTGCACACCATCCATCTTACCCACCCTATGGTTCAGCCGTGTTATTACAATAAACGGCGCATGCGCATCATCGCCTCGTGTAAGTACGTGAGCAAGCGTAAACCGTCTAGCTCTCCAACAGCCCAACGCCTGGATCGCATGGCGCGCGGAAGTAAGTTTGCGTAATACGCCATGCGTAAAGCCAAGATTCTGGAGTGCATGCCACGCGCATGTACGTGGTAACACGAGCAGCAGGACGAAAAGGTCCGAACGCGCATGATGCGTCTGTAGCGGATCCAAAGCAGCAGTGTCCAGTACCTGTGCCTAATGCATGTTGTATGGGCTGTTGTTCTACTTCACGTAGGATTGGGGCGTAGCTCGGGAATCCTGCCCGGATCGGATGGAAGGATGTAGCAGTCGACATGGACGATGGACGGCTAATGCTGCAGATGCGGCCTTGCGGCGCAGTGCAGGATAGGCGCATTACGTGCAAGTCACGCCGCTTTGTGAGTATGCAGATTAGATTGTTTGACAATCGTGAAGGTTGGGTCAGCGATGCAAGGGAGAGGCTATTGGTCAGAGACGGAAAGTGTAGTGGTTGCATGCTCTCCGAGTCGTTGTATATGTCTCTGTAGCTTTTTTAGCATGCATGAGAAAGATGGCTGTATGCGCTGATGCTTGATACTCGCAACGTGAGCCTGGATCGTTGAAACGGCGTCAAGATCAAGCGGAACGGGAGGTACGGTGCGCACTCAATGATTGACAGAAAGCACGGATAGGCGGATCTGGCATGGGTCTGTCTCCGCGGCTTTAGACGCGTGAATTTTCCATGAGTAATAGTCCAGAGACTCTGACTGTTGGATATGCGTAAGTTGAGCGATGTAGAAGGTAGTGTTCCCAACTTGGCATGCATTCATGGATGTTCTTTGCCCTGCAGAAGCGCGTGAACGCGACTGCGATTGCAACACTCGTTGTGACCTTCCGTTGCAGGGGTCAGATGCCGATAACTGTCACACGGCAACGGCCGGCTTTTACGACGCTAACAAGGTGGTATTCGTGGTGGAATGTGATGACAGCATAGTGGTGTGCGCGTGCGGACAGAGCGAAGGTGAGGATCAGGGTGGATACAGTACTAGTGACGGAAGACAACCCGCCAGCACGCCTAACCATGACAGGACAAACCAATCGTGCTCCAGTGTTGTGCATGTGAGAAATGCGCGATTGGATGCCTAGATACGCCCCCAAATCCTACAGGAAATCCTGATGTTGTGTCACCAGGAAATGATGTAACGTTGCGCAGCGAGTAAGTCGTTCACGCATAGGGCTGCAGCGAAGTGCGTGTACGTTTGTGTAACGTCGAGAACCTGGGTGCATGAGGTTCGCAGCTGCTGAGTGGTTCGTCAGTCTCGCTGAAACTTGCGAACATGTTGAGCACCACGAGTACGTAACCACGCTTGATACGACTAACGTGTTCACTGCGAACTAGCGATTTTTACGCACATTTCTCCACGAAGACCCCTGACGACAGCTGCAGTAGTCGCTGCTGGGAATAAGCAGCAGTAAATGCACCTCTTTGCATCCATGCGTTGAGTCCAGTGCCCACCTCATTTTCTCTGATCCGATTTAGTTCGTACAGGCACACCTCCACTTTTGTGGTAAGAACGCCGAGAGGACTCGCAACCGAGGCTTTGGAGCCCATGAGTCAGCCTGGAAGGATCAGCGAAAAAAAGGTCGGAAAGGATCAAGGGCCATTCCGAAGCAAACGTCGACGGGCCTCCTTCCCGGCTGTGTGGTAGCGGGGAAAAAGTCGTATAGAAAAACCGGAAGAAGGGCAAAAGCAATTTCCGTTCATTCCGCAGCCATGTCTCAAGGCCCGGAATTGAAGGAGGATTACTGTAAGCCCAAGCTTCCTTATGTCCTGGAGAAGCGACTAGAAAAAGTGGATCAACAGTAACCTTGAATGACCGAGGCTCGGATACTGGAGTCCCATACGACAGTCTCAAGAAGTCTGGACAGGAGGCCTGGGCGCTTGCGCAATGTTCGCAGGTTCGGGCTGGGAAGAGAAAGTCGTTCCGAGTCCTGGGATACCTGCGTCGCTTGCAAAATAGCTCAAACGTCATGGGAAACTTTGTTGACAGCTGGTAACTTCTGAAATTATACATGGTGTCGCCAGAATAGAGGGCCGAGGTAATAACATCCGGTTTTATAGGTCGTTGACGCAGGTACGAGGATACGACGATGCCTCCTATTATATTGCTTAATGATCGCCTGTGCCCTACGGCTACAGTGCACTGCCATTCGCTAATAGCCGGTCCGTAATCTCTATGCATGATACAATTGACACAAAAATCTCCATCTTTGCACTGCTGGTATTGGCGTGAAGAGTGTTAATGAAATAGACCGTATTGGAAATCACGGAGCATCAGGATTCCGTGATGAGTGAATGGATTTAGGCTTGTAGAGCGTATGCCAGTGTTCTATCCGTGACGTGATTCAAATGTGACTACGTTTACTCAGCGTTGGGAGCATGCCTGATGTCCAAGGCTAAAATCACAATCTAAAGCATCTAAAGCAGGAATGCCAACATGGTAAGGAAGTACCTTGCTCAGTCGCCAATTGTACCTTGCAGAGTGGCCAGTGTAAATCTAGACGAGAAGGTTTCGCGTTAGTCACTCCGCGTTCTCCGTGAAACCTTGCGGGTAACGCATCCTTGCGAGGACGCCACCACACCGTGAACGACAGGAAACTGATGTCACAGACGTACCGAGGTGTTCACATGATCAAGTAGCGATTAGTTGAGATGTGGGTATCGAATTCAGCGCATGTGCTTGAGGCGTAATCAGAAGCTACATGTCGCGTTCCTCTAGATGCGGTCCAATCGGTGCTGTTTGTACATGTGATAGACGGGATTAAATGCCGATTGAGAGTGGAAAACGAAACCGCCGCAATGGAAGATCAAGGCTTCTCAAGCGAAACTGAAATGAACATGAAGAGGGCCACCTCTTACAGAGTATTTGTAGAAATAGAAACAATCGCGATGCCGATAGCGCCCAAGATCACGTATTGGTCCATGAAAAAAAAACATGATCTCCAAACCCTGTATCGTGAAACCAGTCGTGCCGCGCCGGATAACTCCAAGAATGATAATTTTTGACGATGAGGCGTCCACACCAGAAGGCTTTTTAAGCAGCCAATAATTCATTCCATGTGCCACCATGGTGAATATGTGAATCTGAGTGTATAGCCTCTGATAGTGCCGCCGAAGTTGTATTGTTGCAAACGGCAATGTCGTGACTTAGGCACAGTTGCTGGTCTGATCTGCCTATGCTCCAGAGTAGAACTGTGGCAAGCCCTGATGGTGGTATGCCATTGGTGGAGTGACCTCCTCTTGTACCCGATCTAGATGTCCCGGTTCTGCATACCACTGCGCACTCATTGATCGTCCAGATGAAGGCATTGGTGGACCGTGGTTTGGCATTCCGTCGTATGATGACCAGGGAGCTGGGTAATAAGAGTGATTAGGAACGACGGGCGCGGATAGGGGTGCTGACGTAGATCCGCCTACCGTGGTCGCGTGCATTGTGGAAGGATTTGTGTCTATGGTAGTCGGGTATGGATACTGAGAAGTACGTCGGTAGTTTTCGTGCTGAATGCCAAGGCCTTGACCAGAATATTGTTGGGGAAGTCCTTCTATGTTGCCGTATGACATCGAGCGCGTTGGCGGTTGGAATGGTGGTTGCTGACCCCAATGAGAGTCCTGGTGACCATAGGACATAGTCGAGCTCGTACTCATTGCGGCTGGTGTATGACCACCTGAAACGTTTGACTCACTGCCATATGCTGAGTTTGCTGTCGAAGGTGAGTTACGCCATGAGGGGCTCTCGGCTACGGTAGATGAAGGTAAGAAACCGTTCGCTGATGGCCACTGGGTTTCTATAGGAGGAGGGTATGGATAAGAGGGATGCTGTACTGGGACTTTGTTGGTTAGCGTTTGCAAAACCGAGATGGCAGAATACATACGGCCATCGACAGGCACTTGGTGACGGTCGCTTTCATGATCGCCGTGATACCCAAAGCTTGGAGGTTGACCGTTTGACGCAGGTCCAGAGAATGGTGTGCGGAATTCGCCCATGGCATCGCTATGCCGAGGTGAAGTAGCGACTGGTGTAGCTGGTTGTACTGCGCTACCAGATTTCGACGAGATAGTCGGGACATGCGGCAGATCGGGGTTATGCTCAACTGGGTAGAAGTTGCATTCTTTTTTCAGCCGAATGCAGTTGGAGCAACGGCCTGCAGGATCGTCTGGAGCTAAGAGACATCGTATCTTTCTACGTCTGCAATGACCTACCCTCACCAGTCAGTGATCAAGTAATGCACCACCATGGGATTTCATTTCTCAGCTTACCACATGCGACCGAAGTTCTATGATAGCCCAACTTATTCCGCGGCTTGTTACTTGTCGGCGACAGGTCGCCAGGGTTCCCAAGTGCTAAATGGCGCATGTGTGGAGTTGATGAGGACTTGCGGAGTTCTCCCGCTTTGCTGCTCTTCGAGGAGCGTCTTTTCTTATTCGAGTGATGGTGAGGTTGACCAGCAGGTTCTTGACCAGTGGAAGAATCGGCAACAGACTCGGATTGGTCTGTGGGGCTTGGTGTGGAAGCTGTGTCGGCGGCATGGGAACGACCAAACCCAGAGCTATGGTTCGGGGGATTGAAAGACATGGTGTCTTGAACGGGCTGTAAAAGCAACGATTGCTCTAGTCTAGATGCCGTCTTCTTCGCGCGGCGTTCTGTACCCACAGCCATGTGAGGCGCACTGATTGTCGCAAGACCCGAATATCAACACACAGTAATGCGGTAGCGCATTGAAGGACCTGAGGGTATAAGCATTTAATGTTTAAAGTTCAACAAGGCCCCACAACGATCCATGATGGACAGGAAGCTAAACAGTGTACATACCTGGGAGGTCAAACAGGGCGACTTCTCAAACGCTGGAGTCGGCACTACAAGATCTTGCCGCGGGAGGAGACGACGGGACACTTGCTGATCTACCGTACCATGGGATTCTCGATCTAATCAATGCTCCAAAGGCGCACTGACAAGACAGCAGGGGTTAACAGGTAATGATAGTCAAGACCCAGGTAAATAACCAAGTAGCAGAAGCGATGGTGAAGCAGTTGCGCACCGACAGTGACAGCTAATGTCAGCTAGTCGTTACCACGGCTGTTAGTTTAGCGGGGGCGCATTGCAATCTTGAGAACAACAGGCGCCAAAAGCAAAAGCCTGCATACATACGAAAAGAAGTAGGGACTGGATATAGAAATTTACACGACGCTGTTTGGTTGAATGAGTGGATGATTAAAAGTGGCGAAGTATATCTGCGCTACTACGCAACAGGATTGCTGCGTTGGAGCGCCTCTTGCACCTAAGGATTTCACAGGGTTCATCAATGCTCCTTCCTCACAAGCACAAGATCATCTTCTAGAGGCCAAGCGACCAGGTTGCTGTTGGTGGGCCCGCTTGGACCAAGTGATGTGCGGGATGGATGGGTGTGCAGGCCAGCAAGTCCGAGCGTCATGACTTGATGGCTCTCGGACCCTTCGCACAGTCGCTGTTTGGGATTCTTTGCCTGTCACGTCTCGACGGTGTGATGCGATGACAGCCAGCGGTAGCCGCCTAGCGTCAGCGGCGGCGCGATCCACTTGTATCGCTCTTGGTTGAAAGTCTAGTCAAGCCACTGTATTGATAGCTCGCGATTGGTCAAGACGGGTGTAATGTATGCCTGATTATCCCGATTTCTGGTTCCGTATGTAAGGGGCCTATACAAGGCAGTATACTGCAGGAGTATGCAAGCTGTAAGGTTAATCTAGCATGGCTCTGTGCGTACGAACGTCGCCGGGGAAGCGTGGTTGAGCCAGGGTAGGATTCAACAGTGTCCGGATCTAAGATGACGAAGACGGCGATAAAGGCCTCGATGGAGACAGGGCCGAAGTGCCTGAGCAGGAGAGCTGACGCAGACTGGAGACTGGTAGGGTTTGGTTTGCGCAGATGAGGGCCCAATACGCAAAGGTCGTGACGTGACATGCCCGGTAGCGAATGCCCGCTGCGATGATCCCCCGATGCTCACGGTCGTTGGGGAGGTCTCGAAGTGTGGTACAGGGATAACGCCGACGTGAACTGCTGGCGCTGTCATGGTATGGCTATCCTGCGACAAATTGGCTGTGAAAGCGCGTCCTTCTCCACACAGTTCATTTCGCTAGCAGGGCCCTGGAAAAGGCTCGACTAATCTCCACTCGCGTCATCGTGATTGAGGACAATCAGCGATTCCACAGTTGCGTTGCACAAGCGTGGTCAAGCGAGTATGTCACTGGCCAAGGTTGATTGTAGTATGTGATGGCCGCCGGTGGTCGGTTAATGCGCATGAGGCCTGACCCAGCGCTATGGCTATGGTCGTTGCATGACTTGCACTCCAATAGTGCGGGCGCTGTCCAAGACGGGCGACTGCACGTGGAGAAGCGATCTGATACAAAAGTGCTTCGGGCCTATTAATACGTCTCGAATTTTCTGTGGTCAGACGGTTTCCAGCAGGCTTGCTATTTCCCGACGGCACCTGCGCAGCGTCTCCCCCACCGGTCCGCAGTGGCGCATGGATGGTGAGGCGTTGAGGGTATTTCTTTTTCCCAGTGAGCCTCCCTTTGTTCCAGAAGCAGGGAAAAGGTATCCCACGTTCTCCATTTTTCTTTCTTCCATGTGTCCGCATGCTCATCGTGTTCGTGGTCAGCACCGCGTGCTGCCGGTGCCGACAGCCTATGTCAGCGTCGCGCGTCATTGGAGGGTAATGTCAACTTGACGCCTTTTGACCAGGTTATCGGTAATCACGCAGTCCGATTGCTAGTCCCTAGGCTTGAGTGCGCGTAGTTACAATGGTCGTGCATCGGGCTCAGTCACGCATTTTGGCTAAATTGTTCACGGCAGTGTATCTGAAACATACCGGACATCAACCGATCGATACTGCGGAGCGCCGGCTGTCCTGGACTCGTGGAGTCGGGGATAACATGGTGGTCAGTAGTTGGTGTTTGCGCCGCAGGACAGGCGAACGGCGCTTCATCCGTTCACGAACGCTCGTGCGAGGCTTGCATCGTGCTTTCCCCCCTCGTCAGTCTTGGCTCGCTTAGATGCAACTTCCACCCTGGGACATCGCAGCGTGTGCCTGCCAATTGTAGCGTAGGAATTTTGCAAGATAGCGAATGCGAAGGATCCCGCGTAACGGCCTTCACCTCGACCCTCGTCGCCTTCTGCATATGCACTGATTGGTCGCGGTGCAATCCGCCGCCGGCGCAAGATACATCTCCACCTGGATTCCAACTGCGATACTGATACACCTTCTTCACTCGCAACACGACTGCTAACCTCTCGAAGCAGGTGGCAGCGGACATGGGCGACATTATCAAGCTCGCTATCTGTGAGGACCACCAACATCTCCGAGCTAACGTTACGTAGCCTTGGTGCTACCTTGCCATGCCAGTGCGAGTATGCAGCAGTTACCCCCACGTCCGCGTTGTGTTATGAATGTTACTTTCACAACCCCACGCATCTCACAAACATCGACTGCTGCTATACTGCGGTATCCTCGGACGTCGACAAGAAGCGTGTATGACTGTGGCTGCTTCACAACCCCCGCAGTGCCTGCTGCATTCCGTGCTATTGGAACATGGTAGTACAATCGACTTGACGCTAGCAACTATCCATCAAGGCACTTTCCAACACCACGGCAATTCGTCTGCATGTTAGAGTCATGCACCCTTGCATACCTTCAATATCGCCCTTCTTATGCGACCACATCATACACCGGCGAGTTTATTGCTTTGAAAGCAATTACCAATAATTCCCGGCTCTCTGGTTCTCGAATCCGCACCCTCAAGAGTTAGTCACGGGCAGATACTCGGGGATACGCTAGTCATACAACCACACCTACGAGTCCTGAGCGTTGAGAATAGAAGCGTTGCCTAGAGTAAAGGCATTCCGATCAAACTTTGGGTAATGTACGGAAGCTTAGGGTGTTCATGAAATTGCGCACAGCTGGCCGAAGAGCATCAAGAGTGGTTCGGCCGGAGATATCGTTACTAAGCACACCCCTTTGGATCGAAGTAGCATGTCTTTCGTATGGACATTGTTCGCTGTTTCGGTTTTGCTGAGGCCCTCACACCACACTCAACACCAAGTTCATCTTAGCTTGGCAATCACGAAGTTTTCTAGCGCATCTGACTATGTCCAGTCTTGTTGCAACACTGCCTGCCCGACATGGCGGATCCCTATACCAGAACGCTGGAGATCAACATCACGTTCACTAGTGTCCGCTTTGGTAAACTCAGTCGAAGATCTTCAGGAGAGTTGGCGCGACACGTTGACAGCCGCGCAATTCCTCGCCTGAGAATCGCGAAAATAACGCCGATCGCGCATTTCTAGACGCGGTTCGACGTTGGCAATAGCCTCCAGCGTACGCTATCAACAGCTGAACCATCAAACCTTCCTGCGACAATCAACCAGAACGCTGCGGAGAAAGCTCCGTAGAGCTGTCATAGCTGATCATGTCTTGGCGAAGTTTCCGTCGAATCGCCTTATCATTTAACTTCAACCCCTTCGGAGACGCCTTTCTGTATTTAGGTGGAAAGCCGGTATACCAAAGCGTTTGCTCTAACGAGCAAACAGCCTCACTTGCTGACAAGTGTAGCTGGTATGTGTACGATATACGGCTCTTTTTCAGACTAATTATTCTGCCGACTACGTCATAAGTCTCCGGGTATAGTTGGAACGGAGATATCCGAACAACAGTTCAGGAAAACTATAGTTCTACTTGGTCGCCAGCGACGACACTATTTTCTCTATGTTATACGTAGTATGGTACTCTACGCAGAACTTGCAGCTTGTGCATCTCGAATCGAAGAGCCGATCTTGGTATCGGTCCGTCGTCATGATACGTTGGTTTCACAACTCTACATCTCTAGCGGATTGTGGCAGTGGATGTGCGAAAAGGCAAGTCCCGTTGACTAGTTATGCACAGCACTTGACTCGGCAGGATCTTTACAGACCCTGAATCATTGATTGCTTGCATCTTCTAGCAACGTCATGAGAGAGAGACACCGTTGTAGCATCGTTGTGCCTGTACGAAATGATTCGAGGGAATCAAAAGAACCATTTCCCCATCGGCTTTGTTCGGGAGATTTGCCCGTGCCACCGGTAGAGCGTCCGATCCGATTTGCGGCAGTTGTGGACGGGCGAGCTTCCGCGAAACATGATTCGCCCAAATTACCGCATTCAGTATCGTGTCGCTCCTCTACGTAAGAACAGATCTAGTAACGAAACCCCTCCACTGTGTGTGCGCCTGAAAAGGCGCCACTAGAGACTACTTGCTTCGCATGGGTACGGTACGCCTTTGTCTTATTTCCAAACGCCATGTAAACCTGGCAATACTTGTAAGTTTATCACGCCACCAATCTCACTCCACCCTCACGGCAATCTCCACCTTGCACGCTCGAGATCTTACAGGCGGGAGGATATTTCCCGAGCGATCGTGAATACAGAATCGCTACCAACGATCTTCGCATATGGAACCCAAATGCGGGGTTCCACTAGCAGACGCACCCCTTGGAAAACTAGACAAATCGCCAACACCACACATTGTCGGGTCTTTAGTTCCGCACTACAATCTCCGATTACTGCCA